TAGATGGGTGTGTGTGTTGTGGAGGGTTGGATAGGTGTGTGTGTTGTGGGAGAGGGTTGGGTGTGGGGGGTGTTTGGGTGTGTGTACTGTAGCGGGTTGGGTGTGTGGGTTAGATGGGTATGTGTGCTGTGGGGGGAGTTAAGTGTGTGTGTTGTATGAGGGTTTGGTGTGGGGGGGTGGGTCGATAAATGTGTGTGTTGTGTGGGTTGGGTGTGTGTGAAGAGTGTGTGTGTGCATGTGCAGTGTGTCGGTTTGGTGTGGGTGGGCAGATGGATGTGTCTAGTGCGGGGGTAGGGTGTGTGTGGGTGAATGGATGGGTTTGTGTGTGTTGTGGGAAGATGTTGGGTGTGTGTGGGTAGGTGGGCAGATGTGTGTATGTGCTGTCGGGGGGTTGGGTGTCTGTGGATCAGTGGATGGATGGGTGTGTGTGGGTGGGTGGGTAGATGAGTGTGTTGTAAGTGGGTTGTGTGTGTGGGTAGATGGGTGGGTGGATGCATGTGTCTGTTATGTGGGGTTGGGTGTGGGGAGGTAGGTGGATGGATGCATGTGTGTTGTGGGGTGTTGAGTTTGGAAGGGGTAGATGGGTGTGTATGCTGGTGGGGAGTTAAGTGTGTTTGTTCGGAGAGGGTTGGGTGTGTATGGGGGGTGGGAGGATGGGTTGTGTGTTGTGGGTGTGTTGGGTGTGTGTGGGATAAGTGGGTGTGTGTTGTGTGTTGGGTGTGTGTGGATGTGTTGTGGTTGGGTGTGTGTGTAGGTGCGTGGATGGGTATGTGTGTTGTGTGGGAGGGGGTTGGTTGGGTGGGGGTGGGTGGATAGGTGTGTGTATTCCTGGGGGATTGGGTGTGGGGGGTAGATGTGTGTGTGTGTGTGTGTTGTGCGTAGGTTGGGTGTGGGGGGTGAGTTTGTGTGTCGTTGGGGCTTGGGTGTTTGTGTGTGTGTGTTGGGGGTTGGTTATGTGGGTATGTGTGTGTTGGGTTGGGTGTGTGGAGGTGGGTTGTTGCATGGGTGTGTGGAGGTGGGTGGGAGGATGAGTGTATGTGGGATGAGTGTGTGTTGTGTTTGTGTGTTTTGTGGGTGTGGGTGGGTGGATGGTTGTGTATGTTGTGGGGAAGGTTGGATGTGTGCAGATATGTGGGTGGATGGGTGTGTATGTTGTGGGGGGTTGAGTACAGGGGCGTCGATGGGTGTGTGTGCTGGGGGAGGAGTTGAGTGTGTGTTGTGGGGGTTGGGTGTGGGGAGGTAGGTAGGTGGATGGGTGTATGTATTGTAGGGGGTTGGGTGTGTGGGGTAGATGGGTAAGTGTGCTGTGGGGGGAGTTAAGTGTGTGTGTTGTCGGAGGGTTGGTTGTGTGTGGGGCTTGGGTGGGTCGATAAGTGTGTGGTGTTGTGAGGGGTTGGGTGTCTGTGAAGAGTGTGTGTGTATTGTGCAGTGTGGGGGTTTGATTTGGGTGGTTGGTGTGGGTGGGTGGGCAGATGGATGTGTCTGGTGGGGGGTTGGGTGTGTGGGGGTGAATGGATGCGTTTGTGTGTGTTGTGGGAGGAGGTAGGGTATGTGGGGGTGGGTGGGTAGATGGGTGTATGGTCTGTCGAGGGGGTTCGGTGTCTGTGGATCGGTGGGTGGATGGGTGTGAGTGGGTCGGTAGATGAGCGCGTGTGTTGTAAGTGGGTTGTGTGTGTGTGTTATTTGTATGGGTAGAGTGGTGGGTAGATGCATGTGTCTGTTATGGAGGTATGGGTGTGGGGATGTAGGTGGATGGATGGGTGTGTTGTGGGGAGTTGACTGTGGAAGGGGTAGATGGGTGTGTATGCTGGTGGGGAATTAAGTGTGTGTTGTGGGAGGGTTGGGTGTGGGGGTGGTGGTGGATGGGTGTGTGTGTTGTGGGTGGGTTAGATGTGTGTATTGTGTGGATGGGGGTAGATGGGTGTGTGGATGTGTGTGTGTTTTGTGGGGGTATTGTGTGTGGGGTGTAGATGGGTGTGTGTGCTGTGGGGGTAGTTGAGAGTGTGTGTGTGTTGTGGTCGGGTTGGGTGTGTGTGTGGGGTGTGTGTCTGTTGTGGGTAGGTTGGGTGTGTGTGTTGTATGTATGTGGCTGGATGGGTGGGTGGATTGGTGTGTGTTGTGGGGGTGTTGAGTGTGGGGGTGGTAGATGGGTGTGTGCTGTGGGGGGATTTGAGTGTGTGCATGTTGTTGTAGGGTTGGGTGTGTGTTGGTGGATGATTGTGTTTCTGTTGTGTGTCAGTTGTGTGTGTTGTGTGTATGTTTTGTATATGGGTGTAGGTGGGTGTTTGTGTTCTGGGGGGAGTTGAGTGTATGTGTGTGTTTTGGGGGGTTGTTTGTGTGTGTGGGTGGTTGGATGGGTGTGTGTGTTGTCTTGGTGGAGGTTGTGTGTGTGAGTGGGTGGGTAGATAGGTGTGTGTGTTGTGGGGTGTTGGGTCTGTGTATGAGGGGTTTGTGTGTAGTCTGTGGGTGTTGGTGTGTGGGTGTGGGTGAGCGGATGAGTGTGTGTGTTGTATGTGGGGGTTGGGTGTTTGTGGATGTGGTTGGGTATTGTGTTGTAGGAGGGGCTTGTCTGTCGGGTGGTGGGTGGGTGCATGTGTGTGTGTTGTGGGTGTGTTGGGTTATGTGTGGTGAGTGGGTGTGCGTTTTATGTAGGGGTTGGGTGTGTGGGTGTGTCAATGGGTGTGTGTGTTGTGTGGGAGGGTTGGGTGTGTGGTCGTTGGTGCATGGGTGTGTGTGGTGTGGGTGAGTTGTGTGTGCTTGTGTGTTTTGAGAGTGTTGTGTGTATGTAGGTGTGTGTTGTGTCTGGGTGTTGGGTGTGGGTGGGTGGATGGGTGTGTGTGTGTTGTGGGAGAGGATTGTGTGTGTGTGGGGGGGGGGTTTGATGGGTGTGTGTGTTGTGGGGAGGTCGGGTTGTGGAGGTGGGTGGATCTGTGTGTCTGTGTTGTGGGGAGGTTCGTTTGGGGGGTAGATGGTTGTTCGTGCTGTGTGGGGAGTTGAGTGTGTGTGTGTGTTGTGAGGGGCTGGGTGTGTGTGTGTTGTGTGGGAGGGTGTTGGGCGGGTATTGGGTGTGTGGGGGGTGGGTAGGTGGTAGGTTTGTGTGTTCTGGGGGTTTGGGTATGTTTGTGAGGGGTGTGTGTGTGTAGTATGGGGGTTGGTGTGGGGGGCAGATGGGTGTGTTTGTTGTCGGAGGAGGTTGGGTGTCGAGGGGTGGGTCGGTGGATGGGTGTGTGTGTGTTGTGGGTGGGTTGGGTTTGTGTGGGGTAAGTGGGTGTGTGTTGTGTGTGTAGGGGTTGGGTTGTGTGGGTGTGTTGATGGGTGTGTGTGTGGTGGGGGTGAGTTTGGTGTGTGTGTGTAGTTGGGTGGACGTTTGTGTGTAGTGTGGCAGTGGGTTGGGTGTGTGTTGTGGGGGTTTTGGGTGTGGCGGGGTGTTGGGGGGGTTGTGTGTGGGGATGGGTGTGTGTGTTGTGGGGGTGGGTTTGGTTTCTGTGTAGTATGGGAGGAGTTTGGGTGTGGGGGGTGGGTGGATAGTGTGTGTTATTGGGAGTTTGGGTTGTGCGGTGGGTTGATGGATGGCTGTGTGTGTTATGTGGGGGGTTGGATGGGGAGTGGATGGGTGTGTGTGTTGTGGGTCGGTTGGGTGTGGGTGGGTAAGTGGGTGTGTGTTGTGTGTGTGGGTTGAGTGTGGGGGGTGGATGGTATGTGTGTTTGTATGTGATTGTAGGGGGTGTTGGGTGTGTGTGTAGGTGGGTGGATGGGTGTGTGTGTTATGTGGGGAGTTATGTGTGGGGGTGGATGGGTTGTGTGTTGTGGGTGTGTTGGGTGTGTGGGGGGTAAGTGGGTGTGTGTTGTGTGTTGGGGGTGTGTGGGTGTGTTGGGGTTAGGTGTGTGTTGGGTGGATGTGTGTGTGTTGTGTGGAGGGAGTTGGTTGGGTGGGGGTAGGTGGATAGGTGTGTGTATTGTTGGGGGATTGGTTGTGGGGGGGTAGATGGGTGTGTGTGTGTGTGTGTTGTGGATAGGTTGGGTGTGGGGGGGTGAGTGTGTGTGTCGTGAGGGGTTGGGTGTTTGTGGGTGGGTGGATGGGTGTGTGTGTGTTGGGGGTTGGTTATGTGGGTATGTGTGTGTTGGGTTGGGTGTGTGTGTGGGGGTTGTTGCACGGGTGTGTGGAGGTGGGTGGGAGGATGGGTGTATGTGGGATGAGTGTGTGTTGTGTGGGGGGGTGGCTGTGTGTGCGTGGGTGGATGGGTGTGTGTGTTCAGGAGGGGTTCAGTGTGGGTGGGTGTGTGGATGTGTGTGTTGTGGGGGGTTAGGTGTGAGGGTGGGAGTGGGTGCACTGTTGTGTGTGTGTTGTGTGGGAGGGGTTTGGGTGTAGGTGGGTAGGTGGATGGGTGGGGGGTTGGGTGTGAGTGGATGTGTGTGTCGTGGGGGGTTGGGTGTGGGGGGTGTGGGGGTGGATGGGTGTGTGTGTTTTGTGGGGGCTTGGAAGTGTTTGTGTGTGTTGTATATGTGTGTGTTGGGTGTGGGGGGAGTGGGTGGATGGGTGTCTGTGTGTTGTTGGGGCGTTGGGTGTGGTGAGGTGGATGAGTGTGTGTAGAATGGGAGGGGGTTAGGGGTGGGGGGTGGGAGGAGGTTGGGTGTGTCGGTGTGTGTGGATGGGTGTGTGTGTGTTGTGGGGCATTGTGTGGGGGGGTGAATGGGTGGGTGGGTGGATGTGTGTGTGTGTGTGTGTTGTGTGGCGCAGGTTTGGTGTGGGGGGTGGATGTGTGCTATTGTGGCCGGGGTGGGGGTGGGGGGTGTATGTGTGTATTTTCCCAAGCTTTCCTCAAGGAGGCAGTATTTGAGAATACTTACCCCAGGTAATAAGGCAATCTATTTGTACAGAATGTTAAGATACAAGGCAGCTGTTTGTAGCTGCTACTTGCTTGAAATAATGCAGAAGAAAATGACCCTGTGACTGAATATCTGGTGCTGCCAACTGCACCAGAGGGCAATTGCTGTTCTACTTGGAAGATATTGGAGAACTGAACTCCTTTATGATGTGAGCATTTACCTAGATCTTTTGCATCCTTGGGATCTCCAGGAGCCTTTAGTAGTTTATCTACAGGTTCTTCTTGATGGACAGTCAGGGTTCCTGATCGGTTGTACAAATATGAATGTTAACAAATGCTTGACTCTTTCCAGGGCAAAGGCAGCCCCCTGGGGTCTTTGTCTCCTATAAACGCGGTTACAGGCCAGTGAGCCACCCAGGCAGTATATGTGAACTGTTACAATATAAAGGAGACTGCCCTGAGCCCCCTTGCCTTGATCCTCCATATCTGGCAGCAGGCATTTTCCAGTCAAGTTGGTAGAATATGCTTTCAGAGAATGATTTTCACTGGGGATTGGAAAAGGGGTCCTGCCCCCTCCCCCATCTGTCTTCCTGATGCCTTTACGGACCACCCAGGTAATTAAGGGGCTAGGCCAATAGGTCTTCAGCCTGGTTCCTCAAATTTCACTTAAGATGGGCACAGGTCAGATGATTTTTGCTCATCTCCCACTCAACAGCTTAATGAAACCCTTCCAAAAGAGACAAGGCTAGCCTCAGGCGTATGATAATCAAGGGGTTTAGCTAACCACCCTCCCTTTCTTGAGATCTCCCCAAGGTGGGTATCTGCAGGAAGGGGAAATCTCCATCCCTGATTTTGAATTGTTCAAGTCACTATCATTTCATTTTATTTATTGAAATAAACGGCCACCCCTTTGTCTTCTTTGAAACTTTCACTGCAGGACTTTATCACTGCAGATATTTGGCAAGCTATTTCATGATGCCAGTTCTACCCCCAAACCCCTGCATTCTGCATTCTACAAGTGTGCAGTCCACAGCAGCAGGATTTCCAAGACATGTCCCTAGCCCTGCCAAGGGGTAGGAGAGGCTGCCGTTGTTGGCATGTTGTGTTATTTGCTTGTGCTAAGGTGAAGCACGCGCATTATTGTGATTTTCACGGTTTTCCGTGGTGGGAACCAGAGCAGAGAGAAAATCAGGTAGACGGGAGATAGATATTGAAAACCTCCCTCCCTCTTCTGACTTGGATTAGTGCCAGAGGACCCTTCATTCATCTCCCCGCCCCCGCCCCGCGCCCCTTAGTTAAGTGCGGTGTTTCATAAGGAATTGCTGTAGAGCGCAGAGATGAAAGTTGCGGTTCACACACTCTGCTCACAAACCCCAACTCATGTTTTCACGTCTCTAAACAAGGACTGCAGTACTATTCCAACTGGTCCTGGTTCGGGAGACAGTGGCCCGCTTGTGACGCCTCGCGTCACTGTATCACTGTGTTTGCACCTACCTGCTGGGAAATCCTGCAGACAGACAGAACGGTGGCTTCAACACACGCAGCCTCCCCCACCCCCCAGCGAACCTTGCCCTTCCCCTGCAGTGCGCGTGGGCGCCGCCCTTCCCCTTGCCTCTGCCTGGAGTACCAGTGCCCAGCAGTGGACAGAGGCACCAGGGACCTCCCTAGATTGTCTTCAGCAGCATCTTAGTTGATATACCCCCTCTTCCTCAGTGGCAGGGAGGGGGGCTAGCGGGCAGAGGCTCTGCAGCTTGGGCCTCTGCGGCAGTGAGTGTGGCAGAGGTGTGTCCCATCACCCTCCCCCCCTCAGGCTCATCCACTTAAGTACCTTGAGCCAGCCCCAAATACTTCAGGTATCTTGCGTTCCCTGAGGGCGCCTCTCAGGGCTTTTTAAAGATATAGAAGCCCACTGCACTGTCACTTCCTCCCATGGGGAAAACTGCTTTGACTCCCACTTTGGCTTTCTCCTCTTTTCCTAACCCCAAGCAACCTGCTCTTTTTTCCCACATGTTGCTTCCCGCCTCCCAACCACTTCCCGCTTCCTTGACACTTCTCCCTTCCCCAGGCTCTCCCATCTTTCTGGCCAGTGAGTGGCAGCCAAAAGGATCCAAGGGATGCCTGGAGTCCCGCAAACTCCATAGCCATCCGACCTCACCTTGGCACCCCCTCCCCCAAGGGGTCTTTTTCTTACCTTTACTTTGGACCAAGTTACTGGCGTTCTGGGCGATGGCAATGGAGATGGAGATGACTTTTGACCACTCTCTCCAGGGTCTATCTGACATTGCAACAGTTGTAGTGCTAAACTCATCCTTGGACTCTCTGAAGTTGGCTCAGGGCGCGACTTTGGGGCCCTCTTCCTGGCAGGTTTTGGGGCTGACTCTAGGACCAGCCCTATGTCAAGATCTGTGGTAGGCTCTCTAGTCGTTTTGGGGGCCAACGCTGATGTTGGACCCGGGTCAGGTTCTGGGACCGGCTCTGAGGCCGGCTCTGGGACAAATTCTGGGGCCGGCTCCTGGGCCGGCTCTGGGACAAGTTCTGGGTCCGGCTTTGATTACGGCTCTGAGTCTGGTCCTGGGTCCGGCTTTGGGGCCGGCTCTGGGGTTGACTTTGCATCTGTTTCTGTGTCTGGTTCTGGAGTTGGCTCTGGACAGGGTCCCAGAGCAGGTTCTGGTTCTGGTTCTGGTGGAGGAGCCGGCGGCGGAGGAGCCGGCGGCGGAGGAGCCGGCGGCGGAGGAGCCGGCGGCGGAGGAGCCGGCGGCGGAGCGGGAGGCGGCGGAGCGGGAGGCGGCGGTGGCGGCTCTGGGGACTCGGCCGGCTCCTCTCCATCCTGAGCTTGGGCAGTGCCCTGGGCCGCTGAATCTACCCCGTCCATTGTAGCACACCGTCTGGGGTCCAGGCAGCCAGCGACCCTAAGATTGGAAGGCTGAAGAGCCCTCGGGCGGTCCGCCCACTCTTATCTGACATCCCTTTGCGGGGTGCCAAACTTTGCACCCGCTTCGCTCCATGGCTAGCGCAGCTCTGATCTAACCCAGGGGCACGCAGCGTCTCCCGGAGCTGGAACACGCCCCTTGGTGAGCGCACACCTCTTCGTAAGCAGCCACGGGTTTGATGGGCGGGAAAGAGTAAGGCTTGAGAATGCGACTGGGCAGAGCGCTTGATGACCTCTTAGCGACATGCGCGGGAAGGGAGGGGGCAAAAAAAGAGGAGGGGGAGTGGAGTGCCTGGTGGGGAGGATTTGGAGCCCGGCCGGGGTTAACTCTTTAGTGACATGACCGAGAGAGAGAGAGAGACAGACAGACAGACAGAGAGAGACAGAGAGACAGAGACAGACACAGACAGAGAGACACAGAGAGGGAGAGAGACAGAGAAGTTGAGGGTCTTTGCAATTCTTCTACACTCTACGGAGCCGCTGCTGGTCTTAACAGCTTCCATAAGTTTTGCCCTCTCACTTCAGCAGCAGGTGGATCTAGCATGGGACCAACCTCTTGCCCTCCCTATCCACTTCTCCCAATCTCCAAGTCAGGATGGACAAATAATCCATTTTATTTAATTTAACCCAGGAAAAGAAATTAAGATGCAAAGATTGGAAAAAGAGGAGATGGGGGCGCGGGGGTTGAGGATGGGGAGACCCTCCTCCAAGTGTCTCCGGAGTCTTGGGTTTATTTTATTTTATTTTATTTTGTCTAAATCAGAATAGTTGAGGAGGTTGCTGTTCCGTACCGGGTTTGCAGCTCGTTGGGAAAGCAGCGTTATGAGGGAGAACTGGAGCCCTGGCTTTCTGCAGCCTGCAGATGCAGCCCAGCGTGCCAGACATCAAGGCGAGAGAATGCCCTGGCAGTGGTTGGTGGCTAGGCTGCGAGCTCAGCAGCAGAGGTTATGCTGCTCTCCGCAGCTATCTGGCATCTGTCTGGCTAGGCTTCGCTATAGGAGAGACTGTCTTCTGCTTTTACCAGGACTTTATAAGCATCTGCGGGACTTCTAATCTAACTTGTGTGTGTGTGTGTGTGTGTGTGTGTGTGCGCGCGCGCGCGCGAACGCCTCTGTGTGTGTGTGTGTGTGTGTGTGTGTGTGTGTGTGTGTAAATGAGCATGTCCTAGACTGAGAAAAATATTTCACACCCATACCTCTTTTTTTTAAAAAAAAAAAAAACCTCCGGAAGCACTCTGACATTAGGAAAAATGTGTTGCGAAAAGGACAGGTTGCTGCTGCAGCTCTCGTCCCTCCAGCGACATTAGGAGACTTGAGAAGCGCTGTCCTGGTTAGTTATGTGCATGGACCTACAAACCATCATCTTAGACCTCGACTTTAGACACCAATATGCTGCCATATAAAATGAAAATTTGAGAAGTCTTCCCATCAGCCACAACCGGGTGGGGGAGGAATACCTATAAAGCTAATTTGAAATATGACAAGTGAATTTATCTCGCACACAGAGAATGCTGCAGTTTGGACGGCAGTGCTCCATCTGCAGCCCCTCTTCCAGCCATCTTTTTTCAGAGTACAACATTGGCTGGTACCTATTTCTTTGTTAGCTGATATTCACCAATAATTTTCTAGAATCTGCAGTAGTTTTCTGTTCTCGACACCATGTCTTAGCAATGAATACCACTGAAGACAATCTGGTATACCCCCCTCCAAAGACCAGAATCTATGATGCAGTCAGCATCTCTCTGACACTTGCTGCAGCATCTTTACTTAAATCTATGATTCGGAATACATGTCACACTGCTTGACAATGACAAAGTCCAGCACAGGGACCAACTCTAACCTCTAGGATGGGAGAAACCCAGAGGTGCTGAGCCCTTCACCTTTCTCACTTAACAGGCCTCTTTCTTTCTACCTTATGTGCCTACCTGCTTCCCGCTCTTTGGGGTTTTTCTTCCCTCTCTGATCCCATACTCAAAAACAAACAGAACCAAACAAACTAACAAACAAAACAACAAGCTGTGTTAACCTTGTGTGTTCATAACTGAAAGCCACGTGTGTCATATCGAACCAGTTCTAACCCAGGCTTGGGGTCACTTTTCAGTGTTTTACACCCTGGTGTAAATGAAACAAACCCCAAAACACCCTTCAAAGGAACGTGTGTCCCACATTTAAATGTTTCTTTTACAAAGCTTCAACATGGAGTCAGAAAGGCTGATGGGTAGGCAATCACAGAAGAAGATGGCCTCTCAGGTTTTGACACAGATGATTTGGTCATCAAACATGACAAGCAGGAGGAGACAACTTGGAGTTATCACTGTATGTATATTCAAAGAACTCTTGTTTGTAGTTCTCTCTATGCTCAGTCCCGATGTGCCTAAAATTTATGGTGTGATCTCTTGCTCCAAGTTCATTTGGGTGTTGTGTACAGTGTTTGCTCCACTAGGGTAGGTTGCTGGGCCTATACACTGCCAGGATTGTATTCTGGTTATTATGATTATTATGTATTATGGTTAGCTTTGAGTCTTCTAAAATTATTTCTCAGTGCTTCCAAAGATGTCTGTTCCAGTTGGAGAGCAAGGGCTGACTGTGTTTTGTCTGCAACTAGTATACTTCCTCTCCCCCCATAACCTGTTTTTAGTAAAAGCAAAACCAGTACAAGTTTGCATAGAATAGATGCCAGAATGCTAGTGTGTCTTCTTCAGGCTCTACTCCAGCGATGAGACCAGAGTAAGATTTAAGACATGTTTGTTAATCAGCTCATGCATTACAGGTTACTGGGCAGGGTAATTTTTTTTCTGCAGTGATTTTCAGCAGAATTTAGTATTTCAGATAGCCAAGGATCATTTAAGAAGAGGCCAGAGATCCATCACAACATTGAAACTCATCTTTTTCTCATTTCGTTTTCATTATTGAATGTGAGCTATAATGCACTGCTAGAGGGGCCCCTTGACCCTGGACCAATAGTTTTACATTTCTTAAGTCCCCTGTTTTACAGAAATTTTAAAGGGAATTCATTACCTTTCAATGAGTCTTAGCAGCTGCCTACCTTTCCCACATTGCCACCTTGGCAATATTCAAAGCCAAAATAGAATCTTTTATAATAATCTTCTAAGTAAAGTAAAGAGATGGGGTGATGAACAACACATAGCTGAGTCTGATAATTTAGATGGGATCAGAATGCAAACCTGTTATCCTTTACTCAGTTTGGTTTCTTAGGGTTTAAGAGATATGGAGTTGTAGATTTAGAAAGTTGCGTTCATACAATGTGTTTTGACTTCTAAACTACATCTAAATACGTTATCTCTCTTGAGTCTCATAACAAATGTGTAAGAAAGAAAGTCTGGACTGCCACTGTACATTCCTACCCCTGGACTTTTATAGACAAGAATGAGATTAAACACCATGTCTTAGGTCACAGAGATAATTGGTGGTTGAACAGCTATCTACAACGTGTGTCTCTCAACTCCCACTTGAGAAAAACCAGAGCACAGTGCTGATTTGGGGACTGTAAAACAATGGCTGTGTAAATTTTTCTGTACCTCTGTGTATTCCGTCACCAAATACCAAGTGGTGCTGTGAGTGAAGTGGGGATGACTTCTTGAAAATATCTTGAAGTAGGTCTTAATGGGTAGTTAACAAAGATCAGCATGGAGGAAGCATAATATATATTGTCAGGCAAAGAGAAAGAAAGCAATGGAAAATCATGGTGCGAATGAGCCAGGGTGACTGAGAACAGGGGACAATACCAAGGATTGAGTGGAGAGGTTAAAGCAAAGTAAGTAATCGAAGTAGAAAGTGTTAAAAGTCTTTGAAAGACATACTTTCTTCTTTCAAAGCTAATTGAGATCCAACAGAAGTTGTTTTAGTATAGGGGTGATAAGGTAAAACCACTCAGTTAGAAAAATTATTCTTTGCTTGTTTGTTTGCTTTTTTTAAGACAGAGTTTCCTTGTGTAACAGCACTTACTGTCCTGGAGCTCTCTTTGTAAACTAGGCTGACCTCGAACTCACTGAGTGCTGGAATTAAAGACCTGTACCACCATGCCTGGCGAGAGAAACTTTTCTTGACGGTATATTTTATTCTGGAAGAATCTACTAGCCTACTTTTGTTCCTTGAAGTCATATCCAGTTCACTTGGAGTCATCTGTAAAATCACAACTCTTTATTTTTGCTGCAACCTATAGTTTTGGGTCTGCATTGCCAAGGCTAGTGCTCTAGCTCCAGATAAACAACTTAACCACCTCCATATACATTTGGATTCACTCTGGAATAGGTTATCCATGAACAAAATATGCTAATGGAATTTCTAATATGAATTCTAACTAATGCTAAATGATCAGAGGATAAGAGAACAG